GATATTGCAGAAGGTCTTGATGGTAAGGTATGTCTTTTTGCTGATGATACTAAGATATGTAACAGGGTTGATGTTCCTGGAGGGATAAGCCAAATGGCAAATGATTTAGGTAAACTAGAAAAATGGTCAGAATTGTGGCAACTGACATTTAATGTGGATAAGTGCAAGATAATGCATCTTGGACTGCTTTGTCTACGTTATTGCTGTACCATTGTCTTGTCTTGATAGTTTAGCATAACAGATCTTAGCTTGTAATGATAATCACGGTGTCAAACTCCCAACACGTTCTGATATGTACATTTATGATGATAAATCACTTGAAAAGTTTTTATGACAGTATTGAACCATTTGGAAACCTTATTAAGATCCAAGTCATAAATTACAGTTATATAAGGGCATGTAAATTATAAAATACTTTTGTACTTTTAAACACATATGTTAGGGCTTGACAAATTTGATTGGAATCTAGGAACCAGCTATAAAAGGTTAGGAGCTGTGTTTAAAAAAAAACAAAAAAAAAACAAATCTTTATTTTCAATGACAAAAATATAATTCTTAAAGGAACACTATAATCACCAGAACCAATACCACTTAATGTTCTGGTTCTGGTGTCTATAGCCAGTCCCTGCAAGCTTTTTCATTTAAATACTGCAGGAAGAGAAGGAAGATTACAGTTCTCTAGCCGCCCGGCTCCATTCTACCTCAGCCAGCTGTCACGGGTGTGCAAGGGAGAACTGATTCCACAGTGTCTGAACGGGTTGACAAACACCCAGGCACCATGACAAAATTCCTAGTCACCATGGTGACCTGGCACCTGGGATTTGTTGAGCCCTGACATATATGTTACTATTTAAATACATGTATATGTTTTAACACATTCAAATTATTCTATGAATTATTAATATTACAATGTAGAAGCATGCCTGCTTATAAACTTACGAAAACTGTGTTTCTTACAAACCTATGCCATAATGTGAGAAATAATTATCAATAGATAAAATAAAGGGCAAACTGGTAAAAATGCAGCTGGTAAAATAAGTTTTAAATGTTTTCAACAAAGCAATGGAACATTTTGAGGTGAAAATTGTTATCTCTATTATTAGTTTTGGTGTCATTAAGAAAAACATTTTAAAATGGCTTGCATTTCTCTTGAACATCATGAAACACATTTTTAGCTTGCAAATCATTAGAAACAAGTTAACAATTTGATGTTCAAAGACATATTGTATTGGAAGGTTTTACTTACTTAGACAAAGAACTTGCGTCTATACGGACACATCGGTGCTAATCTGCATGGAAATTGTCATCCCGGAGTGATATACCTTTATTCACAGTAACAAAGATTAGAAGATAGAGTAATTTTAACGCATTGTAACTAAAGCATGACAGTTTAAGTGCATATACAATAGGAAATGCTATTCTTAGAAAGAATGGAGTAAGATTATTCTGCTGCAATAAATACACAAACAGAACTTTTAGGAAATAAAATTCAGATGTACCGTATATACTCGAGTATAAGTCGACCCGAATATAAATCGAGACCCCTAATTTTACCCCAAAAAACTGGGAAAACTTGACTCGAGTATAAGACTAGGGTGGGAAATGCAGCAGCTACTGGTAAATTTCTAAATAAAATTAGATCCCCCAAAAAATTGTATTAACCCCTTAAATCCGGAGAGCGTACTGTTACGCCCTGCAGGAGCTGGCTCTAAATGCCGGGGGGCGTAATAGTACGCCCTCGCTATAATGGCCGCCCACGTAGCCGGCGCTAGTCCCCCGCTGCAGATTGTGGTCGAAAGCCTGGCCCCCCAAGCAAACCCTCCTGTGGCCGGTGACCGTGATCTGCAGTGTCTGATCGCAGTGACAGCCTGTCACTGCGATCAGTATTTACTGTGTGTCAGCCGATTTCAAATCGGCTGATACACATGGCCGGCGGCTTTCCCCTGTGCAGATCACGTTCGGGGGACATACCTGGCCTCCCAGGCAGGCCCCCTGGGGTCAGTGACCGCGATCTGCACTGTCTGAGATCGCAGTGACAGCCTGTCACTGCGATCTCAGAGTGCTCTGATCGCAGTGACAGCCTGTCACTGCAATCAGTGTTACATGTGTCAGCCTAATGGCTGGTACATGTAACAGGCGCAATGATCCCCCTGCAGATTGGTAGGGGGAGTGCTTGTACCACCCAGGCACCCATCCCTGTGGTCAATTACCCAATCTGCAGGAGGTGATCACAGTGACAGGCAGCCACTGTGATCACTGATCCTGTGTGTAAGCCAGTGATGTGAAATCACTGGCTGACACTGTCTCTGCCCCCTCTCCTGTAATAAAAATAAAATATTAGTTAAAAAAATAAATTACAGTTACAAATAAAATATACTTAGATCATATATTTTATATATATGATCTAAGTATAAATATATATATATATATATATATATATACATACACACACACACACACATTTACACATACACTAAGTGTATTTTAATATTAATATATATAAATATATATATATATATATATATATAAATATCAAAATACACGTAGAAGGATATTGATTAAATATATATATAATTATAATTATATATATATTTATATATAATAAAAAATATGTAAATACGTTAAAAAATAAAAATGAAAAAATAATTAAAATAATTAAAATATATATATATGTCATTTCGTTCTAATTGTATTTTGATATCTATATATATATATATATATATATATATATATATAGATATCAAAATACACGTAGAACGAAATAATATATATATCTATATACATAAGTATATATGTATATATCACTATATGTATACCTATATATAAATAAAAATAATTGTAAAAAATGATCTACACATATATATATATATATATATATATATATACACAAAATGATATACATATATATATATATATATATATATAATAATTTTACATATATATTTATATAATAATTTAACATAATTATGTCCTTTTATTAATTACAATTTGCGGGACCTGCCTGACAACCCAGGCTAAAAGTCCAGGGAATTTAATTTTCTAGCACTATATTTAACCCTATAACTTTCAATGACACCATAAAACCTGTACATGGGGGGGTACTGTTTTACTCGGGAGACATCGCTGAACACAAATATTTGTGTTTCAAAACCGTAAAATCTATTACAACAATATCGTCAGTAAAAGTGACGTTTTTTGAATTTTTCACACATAAACGGCACTTACACGGACGATATTATTGCTGTAATACTTTTTACTGGTTTGAAACACAAATATTTGTGTTCAGCAAAGTCTCCTGAGTATAACAGTACCCCTCATGTACAGGTTTTATGATGTTTTCAAAAGTTACAGAGTCAAATATAAGGCTTGCGTTTCAGTTTTTTCACATTGAAATTCGCCAGATTGGTTATGTTGCCTTTGAGACCGTATGGTAGCCCAGGAATAAGAATTACCCCCATGATGGCATACCATTTGCAAAAGTAAACAACACAAAGTATTGCAAATGGGGTATGTTCAGTCTTTTTTAGTAGCCACTTAGTCATAAACACTGGCCAAAATTGGCGTTCAAATTAGTTTTTTGTATTTTTCACACACAAACAAATATTAACATTAACTTTGGCTAGTGTTTGTGACCAAGTGGATACTAAAAAAGACTGGACATACCCCATTTGCAATACCTTGGGTTGTCTACTATTGCACATGTATGAGCCATAAAATAGCACTAGATGGAATCTTTGATTTTAGCTTTGGAAGAACATAAATCAAAATCTAAAGCATGGCTGTCAGGAGGATCACCAGAATTATCCACTTGAGAGAGGGTTGGAGTGCAGGGTATTCTCTTTCATTGTTCAAACTGAGCTCAACTCCTGATGCATGGAGAAAAGGCCTTCACAAGCCTCTGCTATTGTTTACATAGTTTATACTACGTGACCCATAGGTTGAGGAGGCGGTGACCATGGTGGTGTAGGTGGAAGCGGCGGTGGAGGAGGAGGTAGCCAACACTGTTTTTTTTTATATATATATATACATATTTTAATTGGGGTAGCCCACAAAATATTGGGACATATAAAAAAAGACAAGTCTGTTCCGCAGAACGACTGACCCGTGCGTGCTGCAGCTTATGAGGCCAAAGTTACGCTGCAACGCAGACAGGCGAGCAGCAGCAGAAGATGAGGAGGAAGTGCGCAAGGAGGTGTAACGGCGCCTAGCATATAACCAAGAGCCACCCTCAGAGGAGATTGTCAGCAGGACCTTTTTGGAGGTGCAAGCCTATGTCCTTGCCAATAGACAGAGGGCGACCTCCATGAACCGAGATGAAGGAAGCAGAGGGCGCCGGGAAGCACAACCACTCTGGCCCACAAGCTACCATACAATGCCTTCAAAGACTTCAAGGAAGCAGAAGAAGGCATCGATTACTTTTTACAAGACTTTGTGCGCCAGTGCCTACTCCAAGACGTGGACCCCAGTGACTGGGTCACCATCCTGGCTAGCAAACTAGTGGGGAAGGCAGCGGATATTTACCAGGCTGTACCAGAAGAGCAGATCAGAGACTATCCCTTTATTACCCAAATCCTCGTGGCCCGGTATGCGGTCACCCGGTATGCGGTCACCCCCGAACAATACCGCCGAAAGTTTAGGGAGACCCAGAAAGGGGAGAAGGACTCCCATGCGGAGTGGGCATGCCGCATCACAAGGGCCACCCAGAACTGGCTCAACTCCCATCTAGCCAAGTTCCCGGTGGAGATCACCCAGCTCATCATGCTAGAGCACTTTTTCAATGGGCTCCCCAACAACATGGCTGGTGAGAGACCCAGCCCCAGATCCAAGAAGTATTGGTAAGAGCTGCTGAAGCTAGCTCACGATATCCCATCGGCAGGGCATTTGGGCAGGAGCCGGACAGCGTCTTGGCTCACCCACAGCTTCTTCTGGCCAGGCATCTCTCAGGATCTGGGGCAGTACTGCCAGATGTCTGCCAGAAAGTGGGGAAGAGAAGGGACCGGCACAGGGCCCACCTCCATCCCCTACCTATTAGTGAAGATCCGTTTGGCAGAGTAGCTGTTGACATTATAGTTGCGAAGGCACTTTTTTAACTCTAGAGAACCTTGGGCCAATCGCACGTCCCCGTGATGGCGACTTTGCATTCGTATGTCATCCATATCAACTTTCTATGCCAGTTTCTACGCCTATCATGGTGACCACGGGTAACGGGGAATCAGGGTTGAATTACGGAGAGGGAATCTGAGAAACTACTATTACATGCAAGGAAGGCAGCAGGCGCGCAAATGACCCACTTCCGACGCGGGAAGGTAGTGACGTCAAATAACAATACAGGACTTTTTAGAGGCCCTGTAATTGTAATGAGTCCACTTGAAATCCTTTAACTCTGATCAATTGGAGGGCAAGTCTGGTGCAGAGCGACTGACCCGTGCGTGCTGCAGCTGTAACTCCACTATCGCCTGCTGCTGCTTGTACAGTCTCATGAGGGGGTGAGCGGGAAGGCCGAAGTTATGCTGCAGCGCAGACAGGCGAACAACAGCAGAAGATGAGGATGAGGTGCGCAAGGAGGTGTAAAGGCGCCTGGCTTATTACCGAGAGCCACCCTCAGAGAAGATTGTCAGCATGACCTTTTTGGAGGTGCAAGCCTATGTCCTTGCCAATAGACAGAGGGTGACCTCCATGAACCCAGATGAAGGAAGAAGGGAGCAGAGGGCGCCGGGAAGCACAACCACCCTGGCCCACAAGCTACCATACAATGCCTTCAAAGACTTCTAGGAAGCAGAAGAAGGCATCGATGACTTTGTACAAGACTTTGAGCGCCAGTGCCTACTCCAAGACGTGGACCCCAGCGACTGGGTCATCAACCTGGCCATCAAACTCGTGGGGAAGGCAGCGGATATTTACCGGGCTGTACCATAAGAGAAGATCAGAGACTATCCCTTTATTACCCAAATCCTCCTGGCCCGGTATGCGGTCACCCCCGAGCAATACCGCCGAAAGTTTAGGGAGACCCGGACAGGGGAGAAGGACTCCCATGCGGAGTGGGCATGCTGCATCACAAGGGCCACCCAAAACTGGCTCAACTCCCATCAAGCCAAGTTCCCGGAGGAGATCACCCAGCACTTTTTCAATGGGCTCCCCAACGACAAGGCGACGATGCATTCGTATGTCATCCATAACAACTTTCGATGCCATTTACTGCGCCTACCATGGTGACCACGGGTAACAGGGAATCAGGGTTGGATTACGGAGAGGGAATCGTGCGTGCTGCAGCTGAAACTCCACTATCGCCTGCTGCTGCTCGTACAGTCTCTCCAGTGCCTTGTGGGCATGTCGCATATGAGGGGTGAGCGAGAAGGCCAAAATTACTCTGCAGCGCAGACAGGTGAGCATCAGCAGGGTGAGAACACCGAAAGCGCGCACAGCCGCTACAGTGAATGTCACATCCTGTTCCAAGTTGCGGATCAGTCTGGTGATGGCTTCTGGTATCCAGTACTCTTTTCACTGAAACTGCATCAGGGTCCTGGTATGTGGCCGCACAAACTCTGGTGCTCAACACCAGGTGGCGTGCGATTACCCTGCACCAGACCCTGCTAATCCATTCCACACTGTGACTCCTAACTTCAACATCAGGCATACTGGGTCTGGGTCCCGGTCACCGGACTGCCCACCTAACTGTGAAACTACGAATGGATTGTTAAATCTGGTGCCTCGGATTTGCTCAACTCTATTATGGATCCTTTGATCGCTACATCTATTACTTGGATAACTTGTAATTCTCTCGAGCTAATACATGCCGACGAGCGCTAGGGGATGGCTGCTTCGCTTTTGCACCCTGCTCCCTCTTATGCTGTGCTGGTGCCTCTGTGCGACCAGCGCCTCTTCCTCCAAACTGCACACGTCACTCGCATGACCTTGATTCCATGTGGGGTCTAGAACCTCATCATCCTCCACATCATCTTCCACCCACTCCTCAACCCTGCTCTCCTTGCTGGTCTGCACACTGCAGAAAGCCACAGTAGTTGGCATCTGTGTTTTTCCAGCATGTAAACTCTGCAAAAGACATATGGGAATTGTTTTAGAATTGTATCCAGGCAACAGTTTTCCCTATAAACTGACCTCTCAGTTTGACTTGTGAGGGTATTGCCCCCAAATTACAATATTGTTATATTGGTATTTGAGGCTTCTATTTGACGTTCAGATATGAAGTGCACCTCCAAAATGTACTAGTTAGCAGTTTAGCACCAAAAAATTCGAATTTTTACAACTGCGCAGTTAGCACACTGTTTGACGCTTCTATTTGACTCTCAGATATGAAGAGAAGGCCCCAAAATGTACTATTTAGCAGATTAGCACCCAGAAAATAAGAATTTTTACAACTGCGCTGTAAGCGCACTATTTGACGCTTCTATTTGACTCTCAGATATGAAGAGCACGCCCAAAATGTACTATTTAGCAGTTTAACACCAAAACAATTAGAATGTTTACAATTGCGCTGTAACCGCAGTATTTGACGCTTCTATTTGACTCTTAGATATGAAGTACACGCCCAAAATTTACTATTTAGCAGTTTAGCACCAAAACAATTAGAATGTTTACAATTGCGCTGTAACTGCAGTATTTGACGCTTCTATTTAACTCTCAGATATGAAGTGCAGGCCGAAAATTTACTATTTAGCAGTTTAGCACCAAAACAATTAGAATGTTTACAATTGCGCTATAACTGCAGTATTTGACGCTTCTATTTAACTCTCAGATATGAAGTGCAGGCCGAAAATTTACTATTTAGCAGTTTAGCACCAAAACAATTAGAATGTTTACAATTGCGCTGTAACCGCAGTATTTGACGCTTCTATTTAACTCTCATATATGAAGTGCAGGACAAAAATGTACTATTTAGCACTTTAGCAGAAAAACAATTAGAATTTTTACAACCGCGCAGTAAGCGCACTATTTGACGATTCTATTTGACTCTCAGATATGAAGTGCACCCCCAAAATGTACTATTTAGCAGATTAGCAGCAAAACAATTAGAATGTTTACAACTGCGCAGTAAGCTCACTATTTGACACTTCTATTTGAATCTCAGATATAATGTGCAGGCCGAAAATGTACTATTTAGCACTTTAGCAGCAAAACAATTAGAATGTATACAAATGCGCAGTAAGCGCACTATTTGACGCTTCTATTTGACTCTCAGATATGAAGAGCAGGCCCCAAAATGTACTATTTAGCAGATTAGCACCCAGAAGATAAGAATTTTTACAACTACGCTGTAAGTGCACTATTTGACGCTTCTATTTGACTCTCAGATATGAAGAGCATGCCCAAAATTTACTATTTAGCAGTTTAGCAGCAAAACAATCAGAATGTTTACAACTGCGCTGTAAGCGCAGTATTTGACGCTTCTATTTGACTCTCAGATATGAAGTGCACCCTACTAATGTACTTTTTAGCACCCAAAAAATTTTAAGTTTTAAAACTGCAATGTGACAGTAGTATTTGACGCTTCTATTTGACTCTCAGATATGAAGTGCACCCTACTAATGTACTTTTTAGCACCCAAACAATTTTAAGTTTTAAAACTGCAATGTGACAGCAGTATTTGACACTTCTATTTGACTCTCAGATATGAAGTGCACCCCACTAATGTACTTTTTAGCACCCAAAAAATTTTAAGTTTTAAAACTGCAATGTGACAGCAGTATTTGATGCTTCTATTTGACTCTCAGATATGAAGTGCACCCTACTAATGTACTTTTTAGCACAAAAAAAATTTATGTTTTAAAACTACAATGTGACAGCAGTACTTGATGCCTCTATTTGACTCTCAGATATGAAGTGCACCCCACTAATGTACTTTCCGCTCTGGTCTATGTTTTTTAACATAATCGTCTTGATCCATAATTATCGTGTTTATGACTTTTGCTACAGATCTATCACTTAATATCAGGCCAATTCTTGAATATGAATTATATGACTTGGAAAAACATGAAAAAATCTTTTTTTCATTGGTGTGGACAATTTACCAACAATCAAACAAAGCATGTAGTTTAGAATTTAATAGAATCTTTTAGCGTTATTTACTAAGTTCCTATTGTATATTTTTTTTGTTCAATGAACATTTGTCTAAGTCAGAGTCTAAAATACAATTAAAATCTCCCATAACAACAACCTGTCCTACTTTAATATGATCAATTTTATATAGGACTTTTTTGATAAATGAAATTGGTGATGAATTAGGCGCATAAATGTTAGCTAACTTATTTTTGATTATTAATTTCACACACTAAAATAATAAATCTGCCTTCATTATCCAAAACCTGGTGGTTAATTTTCAAAGCAATATCTTTAGAAAAAAGGAAAGCTACCTTTTTTTCTTTTTAGCTAAAGCTGCATTTATGACTATGGGGAAACCTTTTAAGTTAAATTTATGTTTTTCTCCATAGTTCAATGAGTTTCTTGGAGGGCCCCAATATGGATGTGTTCTCTTTTTATATAATATAATATTGTATATCTTTTAAAATTCGAATTAATCCCCTGCGCATTGATTGTAGCCAATCTAATGACCATAATGTAACCAAACTCTATTCTCAACTGGATAGACTAGGAATCTCATCGCTTCACAAAACATAAATAACATTAAACATGAATTCGATTGACTAAAGATGCCTGCCTGTAGCGGATAAACAGACATTCCCAGCTCTTTGCTAAACATACTCTTCTCTATTCTCAGCAATAGCCTCCACTAATACCCCTGTCTACACCTTACTGCTCTATAAAGAAACAGTGGCCTAGCCCCTCTATGACCTATTTATTGTCCATAGTATTTCTTTGCCAGGTTCCTATTCTTGTAGGTTTGAGCAAAGGAGAAGCAAAAAATAAATAAATAAATAAATAAATAAATACATTTTTCAAAAAGGCTTTAATTCCATTAATTAGCCAGCTACTGGTGTTTCTTATCTCTAATCAATTTATTAATGTGAAAGGTGTTCAATACCTCAAAATTCTGTGTATTATATTTAAAAATCAAGTGTTACTATCAACAATTTGAAATATATATTACCGAATTCCACAACATGTGTAAATCTGTCTTAAGTCAGATATATAATTATACATGTTTACCACATGCTTCCTTTAGTGTTATCCTTGTAATTATAACTGGTTTGTACTTTTTTTTCCTGTTCTCAACATGGTATATACAAATTATGTTTTATTTTAACCATCTTATAGTGCTTTTAAATTATTTATATCTTAACCGTTTAAAAAATCAAAAAAAAATCATAAGTGCTTCCGATTATCAAGACATTGATTTCAT